GAATGTATATTTGTATTATTAGAATTAAAATTGTTTGAAACGACAAGTTGATATAAGTAAGCGACACATGAGTTGTATTATAATATAATATAGTCAATGGATGTGTGTGTGTGTATGTGTACACTATATAATATTATTATTATTATTATTATTATTATTATTATTATAACAATCTAAGTTTGAAGAATTTTCTGAACACGTTTTTGGCAAAGCTTTGGCTGCTCAAGCATATCACATCGACACCTGMWGAGGCCCGACCACCGACCACTCTTTAGCAACCGACCCACCACCACTTCCACCGATCGTATTTTCCTTAGGGAATTACCGAATCTTTGACCTTTATACAATCCCCTATCCGCTCGTCCTACGACGCTAACTTGAGCTCCATTACGAACCGTTAATGTGCTWAGACTCCAACAMTTTGCACCACCACTGTACCGAGCAATTTACATATTTTAGCGACGACGTAATATTATTTTATCAACGTCACAATATATCTCACAAGGTGACTTGATGCACCATGCACAACATAACAATATAAATGGTGTGACGGCGTGTCTTTAACTCGACCGACAATGTGGGATGATAAAATTGTCTGATACAGCACTCATATACGAGTATTCTTGATTTTCTCGTATTTACTCATTAGCTTATTGAACTTATTTTTAACAGACACAAAAAATATTATCATTCGTTCATATCATTATTCAATGCTAATTTAACAACTTTTTATACTAAACACTAAGTAGCTACCCTGTAGAASTGYGTGAGACAAGGGAGACAACCCGCGTGTATTATTATATTTTATTATTATTCAAAAATCGTTAGCTGACGAGGTGTATAGTTWAATTTTATACATCAGCGTGTATRTTGCCTTTGGAACGGTATCCTCCTAATCTGTTTYGTTAAAATTATTTTAACCTATTAACTAAATAAACCCAATGTATGTAAAAATTAWACCAACCAACAAATGCGAATGTTTTTAACTACAGTTAACGATACGAAATTCACGAATTTCGGCGGTGTGGCTTATGGATTTAGTTTCTATAATATTATTATTATTATCATAACCATTGTAAGAAACACTATTTTAACGTTTAATGGATCGTRATGAAAAATAATTTAATCAGTTACACGATAATGATATTTCTATGATTTTTTAGTTTCTATTAAAATATTTAATTTATTTACCAACCAAGATCCTTAAATTAAATATCTGAAATATCTCATTCGCAATTTGTACAACCATTATTTATTTGTTTTATTTCTAATATAAAAGATAAGCTGGTCTTTAMATTATTAGTACGTTACTTAGATAATAACACAAATGCCAATTTTTCTTCAAAAAAAGTATAGGAAATGTCTATTTTTTATATGGACAATGATGGACGTCATTTCTAATCAATAGTGTGTGCTGTATTAAACAACATTATTATTTGAAAGTAAAAAGCAAACGAGAAAAACAATTTTGAAAGTGGTTTTATAACATGAACTGAAAACTTTTAAATCAAGTCACTAGGTACCTATAATATATTATATAATGTCCATATATATATAAT